ATGGGCATAGCAAACCTGTGCGGTTGCTGGAAGACTCTTCAACTGTGAATCCACATGAAAAAAGGCCATCTTAAACTCTTCAATGTCTATTTCTTCCTTAGCAGTTCCTTGGGAATCTTTCCACAGAACAGACCAATCAAACAGATGTTGACTCTTCTTATAGACTTCCAATTGCGGATATCTTAAGATAATGTCATCTATCACATCCCTGAATTCTTGAATACTTAAGGTGCCTGATTTGTCCTTGTCTGCGGCTTCAAAAATGGCCAAGCAATCATCCTATAAACACAGGTGAATGAGTTAAATGTGACGGTATAATTTTAGCAACAATGGTCCATGCATGAGATTCACTATAAATTGTTGTTATATAATCTCTTATTATTAATTTTTTTTATATAATAAATATTACGTGTACTGATCTTCATACTGTAATAAGTCATCTAATCACAAATATGTTGAATTATGTACGTAGACTTTTATAACAACCGCTTTAAAATTCATATTAAAGATGATTTTTTATTGACTAGCCGTGTAAAAACTTTTACATTGAAAATACATATTTATGAAACTCTTTATTATATTACAAAATATAAAATTTTATTTAACTTGATTGTTTTTTTATAATTTTATTCTAGTTTATTACTTATAATACTATGTAATATTAAAATTACGTACTTAATTATCACTGGTTCAATCAAACCCGAAATCAAGATGATCAAATAACTTGGATAAGAGATACCATGATTTTACGTTGATTTATTGAAGAACAATCACCAATAGCATACACAGATTCACATCCCTTCACTCGCAACCACTCATCCGTTGCTAGGACATTCCTTTTACCCTGCACATAGAGCAATCCTAGCTTATACAGATTACATAAATAGTAGTTAATAATAGTTATCTTAAGCTAAGGGAACAGAAGCATGTCCAAGAGAAAACTACTAAATAAACATTTGATCTGACAAAGGATATACACACAAAAGAAATGAATGACCAAGGGGAGAACTGTGTTATAGAAATGCATGGAATTAAGCAACACCTGACCAATTTGTTCCATAAAATCTCTCACAATTGGACGAGTTGCAATTCCAGTGGACCATACAACCAATCCATGGGGTACAGAGCAGAACTCTCCTGTTGATTTCACTTTTACTGTGATTTCCTTGTTATTAACATTCACAACTCGGCATCCAGTTTGAACTTCTATACCATCTCTTCGAAACTTATGCTCCGCGAATGAACTAATTCTTTCATCAAACCTACAAAATTGAACATGACATTGCAATTAAGTTGCGACATTTATTATAGCCTGTGTGATGGGAGATGAAAATGTAGTTGGACTTGCTCAATGATTGGTTTTATTTTATGAAATTTTATATACTAGAAATTCAAGGAAAAAATTCTAGTATTTTAGAACGATTAAGTTCACGATCTAACTTGTCAATTCCACTAACATTGCAAAGTTAAAAATGTTATTTTGTGAAAAAACCTCAAGTCTTGAAAGTAATATAAAATCAAAATTGATATTAGTTTTTTTTGTCCATACAAATGATTTACACAGAATTTCAAAATTAACGATCAAAGATTAATCTACCTTCGCAGGATGTAACTGTCGTTGATGAAAGATTATTTTAACACTACAAAAATCGATTCTGGGAGCTAACTTTCAGTATTTCAAAACAGGCCTTATAATTATTAGAGCAAGAAGTTTGATTTTCATTATTGACACAATAAATGCTTTCTTACGTGTTCAAGATGTGTTCTCCTGATTGAATCACTGTTATCTTCACCTTATCTTTCACAGATGGGTATAAATTGACTAAATCCTCTTGGACATAATCATGAAGCTCAGCTGCAAATTCCACACCAGTTGGACCCCCTCCAACAACTATAAAATGTAGATTCGTCCTTCGTTCTTCCTCAGAAAGAGATGGAAGCACAGCCTTCTCAAAGCAATCTATCACAGTCTGTCTGATCTTCTGAGCATCCTCTACCTCCTGCATGATGATTTAGTACATTCTTGGATGTTGGATTAGTGGCAGACTGATTAATGAGTAAAATTGTTCTATGTTTTCCTTGCCTGAAGTTCAAGCTTTCAATGAATCACATGATAAACAGAAATCCTAAACAAGTATAAAATTTTTTAAACATTGAATTTTTATACATTACATGTTGTGTTCCAAACAAAAATGTGTGTACCTTAAGAAAATGACAATTCTCGATGACACCAGGGGTGTTGAATGTGTTTACTTGTGCCCCTATTGCTACAACCAAGAAGTCATAATCCAAAGAAAAATCATCATCTCCCACTAAGTTGTTGTTAATGTTGGAACGACATAAAACCTTTTTGTTTGCAGAGTCAATCTTAAGGCATTCTGCCTCCCAATATTTAATTTCTCCTTT